CCTCTGCCCGGATGCGGGGGTTGTAAACCTGCAGGCAGGGCTGTGACTAGGGCTGCCTACTGCTGAGCCCCCAGCCCCATGTCCCCCATCCTGGGCAGACACTGTAGCCTGGTCACTCCCCCCAGGCTCATCTCAGCCCCTCACCCCCCGTCCCGGGGACCACTCACGCTGCGCAGCTCCAGCCCCGCATCGATGACGAAGCGCACGTTCCCCAGCGAGAAGGACGAGTCCGCCAGCCAGTGGGTGACGCCTGGCAGCACTCAGCAATCTCCTGCGGGGACAGACATCGCAGACACAGCGTGGCAGGACAGTCGTGGCTGGAAAGGTCCTCTGAGATCACCAAGTCCAACCACCATCACACAAAAAACCCCAAAACAACAAAAAGGACACCACAGAACACACCACCCAAAGAAACCTCCCACACAACAAAACCCCAAAGAAACACCACCACCACACACACCCCACCAAGTAACACACACAAACTCCCCCCCGAACCTCGGCCACTAGAGCATGGCCTAAAGTTCCACATCTACACTTTTCTTAAATACCTCTGAGGATGGTGACTCCACCACCTCCCTGGGAGAGATGTTGTACCTGCACTTGCCCCCTGATGCCCTAGACCCCATGTGGTGCCCACAACCCCTCAGCAGCTCCCACAGTTTGGTCCCCAACACCCCCACTTTCCCCCAGCACGTAGCCAAGAAGGTTCCCCCAAAGTTTCCCTCCTGCCTCCTGATGCAGTGACCCCCTAGGGGCCAGGCTGTGGGTGCCCCCAGCCCACCTGGCCACTGGCCAGGAAGATCAGGATGTGGCCGGGCTCCTGCTGCCGGTGGATGTCCAGCACGGCCTGGCAGGCGGCTGCAACGTGGCCGTGGGCTGGTGGGTCCCTGTAGAGTAGCTGGGGAGGGGGCCCGGGCCCCGGCACCCGCACCACGGGGGGGTCCCCACAGAAGGCGCGGAGCTGCTCCTCCATGGCCGGCAAGGTGACCACCACCACCTTGAGGGGCGGGCGCTGGTGCAGCACGTCCTTCAGCAGCCCCAGCAGCACGTCGGTGGGCACCGTCCGCTCCTGCGCCTCGTCCAGCACCACCACCCCGTACTGCCGCAGCCGCGGGGCCGACGGCATCTCCCGCAGCAGCGTAT